GGCAAAAATTCCTGGCAACGCAGGAAAAATGTGGCATTCATTTCGTTATACACACTAAGCCCTTCGAATGTCAACAGGGGGAACTTGGTGCTTGTCCTAGAAGTTGACAAACGACCGAATCCATTCATCATCGCTATTTTTTCGACTTTATTAATGTGAACGGCGATTTATTTCGCTGCCGGAAACCCCTAATGTAGTTTTCGCATAACTCTAGAAAAATCAATGAGACTATGGAAAGAATTTTTCGTTGTTATTGCGTTAAAATTGAAACTGCATTTTCTAAGGTGGCGTGTGGAGTTTGTGATTCAGCAAACACGAGGATGATGGCATATCGCTGGCAATTGAACGGCGATGCGATGGCCCATTGATTATATCAAGGGCATATTGCTGGCAATATTCATCGATAGTGAAAGAGTACTTTCTGGCTGCTATTGCACGGATGTTACACTTCGATACATTATCTCCTGAATAGATATACTCAGATCACTAGAACGGTACTGTTGAAACAATGATCAAGCGATAGATGATTAAAGCACATAAAATCATTAGTATAATCACAATGGACCGATAACATATATAATATCATCTTCATATCATCTTCTTCACATTTATCATCTATCATTTGTCTTTTGGCTGACGTATCGCCATTCGATATTGTGAAATTTTCAACTGTTGCGTTGAAATTGATACTGCTGCTTCTAGGGTGTCGTGTGGAGTTGGTGACACAAAAAACACGAGATTGATGGTATATTGCTGGTATTTAACTGGCGATTCAATGGGCCATTGAATGTATTGATGGTATATCGCTGGCACTATATGACGTTGGTGGGAAAGTTATTCTTTATTGATGTTACACTTCGATTATACTGGTTGAACACTTCATATTTCCAATAGCTGAAGATCACTAGAACAGTACTGTTTGAACAATGGAATTACAATGGACTGGTAATGTATTAGGTGCATTTCATCGGCATCATTTTATCAAAATTTTGGGTCATTTAGTCTTGTAATTTTCAAAACAATTATGTTCAAAAACCAATCTGAATTTGTGTACCTCCGTGAAACAAAATATATGAAATCATCCATTATTTTGTTCGAAAAATATCACCAATTTGTGTGATATGTGTAAGTGTGAGCATTACAAAGTTGTGTAAATGTTCACAATTCAATGTGCTGAAGATAACACAAATTTGTGTATTTCTTGTACACAGATTTGTATGTGTATGTGTATGTGTACTTCCGTAGAATGTAGAATCTCCGCATTTATTAATATCTGGCGAGTTGGTAAATGATTGATGATTGCACTTAATGATCAAAGGTAGTCCTTCCGCAAAATTATTTCATGCTCACTTGTGGCACAAAGTGAAAGATGTAATGAGATGTATCAACAGAGTGTCGATTCTTTGTTGGGAACTGCCTGAACTTTTTAGTATCAACATTCGCCGGTAAGTTATTTCAATAAAACCTAATAATTAGCTATTACCTTCGACTTGCTTTCAATGGGTGTTGAAAGCAATTCGAAGCTAATCATTATTAGGTATTATTGAAATAATAACTTACCGGCGACTGTTGATACCAGAGTTCAAGCAGTTCCCAACAAAGAAGAATGTCTTCGACACTTTGTTGATACATCTCATTACACTAGTAAACATGAAATAATTTTGGGAAAGGACTACCTATGATCTAAGTACAATCATCAATCATTCACCAACTCGCCAGACAATAATAAATGAGAAGATTCTACATTCTACACACTACACATCCGAAACCTTCTTGAAACACATCTACAGGTCAATTGCGAATTCAGAATATTGAGATTGAGATATAAGTAGGTCGAAGGAAAAGGGGATAGGACGCCGTTAAATTGATATACACAAACATTTGTTTTATTTCACGAAACGACTGTAGTGATTATTTGAACAAATGTTAAATAAAACTTCACGAACATCGTTTACACAATGTATAGATATGCAATCGCCTTTTCTCCCTGTGTACTCTCGAAATATACGTGTTTTCTGCATAAAACTTCATGTTTTACGATTGTCGGCTTTTCCAATTTTCATTCATGCACTTTGCTATTTATCAAGCGTACAAATGGAGAGCAATAATGTATCTGATGTACACATAATAAAAAACTGTCAACATTTATTGCTTCAACTCGTTCCCGTCTGGTGACAAATGTTCTTCTACAGTGTATGTATGTTCAGCATTTCTGTAACCGAATACGTCGTTGTATACTGACAATCCGAAACCATTTGTCGACTTCAAAATGAAGTACCTTCGCATCATTGGAGACCCCACAGATTCATTATGGTTGAGAATGGACTCATTGGTTTGGAAAATTGATGCAGTCAATGTGATTGGTATTTGGTATTGGTATTGGTAGGTTGGATGGTGACAGATGCGCTGCGACCTAATTAGATCTATTGTGCCCCATCTGCTCCTGCTATATCAAGGATTTCCTGTTCATAGCAGCCCCTCGAGATTCAATTCCTTCAGGAAATTGAGGATTTTGAGGGGGTCTAGCTGTGGTATTCCTTCCACAGTCAGCTGGTGTGTTCCCAGTATGTTCAATCTTTCGTGATGTACAGCGTCACACTCCATCAGTATGTTCCTCACAGAATCTGCAGGTGCCGTCCTCCTGTAAGCCTAGCTTCCTTAGGTGTTCTTTGAGTCTGCAATGCCCCGTTAGAAATCCCGTTATTGCTTTGAGACTTCCTTTGCTGAGGTTTGTCAGTGTCTTAGATCTTTCTCGGTTGGAATTTCCAAGGAGATCTTTAGCCTGCCGTAGTCCTGGAAGTCTTCTCCATTGTCTGGCTCTCCAGGCTCCTTCCGCCTTCTCAAGTTCTCCTTGGAAATAGGAATATCCAAGGCCGCAGAATGGCTCTGGTCCGATCAGTGGCGTTGAAGCCCCTTGTCGTGCCAGAGCGTCTGCTTGTTCATTCCCCTCCACTCCGATGTGCCCTGGCACCCAGAGGAGGATAACTTTATTGTTGCTGCCTAGCTCATTCAATTTGCTTAGGCATTCCCATACCATCTTCGAGTTGATGTAGGGAGAGCTCAACGCTTTGATGGCTGCTTGGCTATCGGATAAGATCGCGATGTCCTTCTTCCGGTATTTCCTGTCTAGGTTGAACTGGATGCATCTTCCTATGGCGTGTATTTCCGCTTGAAAAACGCTGTGGAATTGTCCCATGGATTCGAAGTATTTGGTGCGAGGCCCGAAGACTCCTGCTCCAGTTCCCTCGGGTGTTTTAGACCCGTCCGTATACCAAGTAATGGTGTTCCTTCCCAGTGATTCGATGGATTCTGTGCTCCATTCGCGCTTGTTGCTCAGCTCCACTCGGAAGTTCTTCTCAAAACTGAACTTCCTAATGATTTGATCTGTTGGAATGTGATTAAACCTGGACTTTTCACCAATTATGGCACTAAATGAATACCAAAACCTCAAAGTCATTTCCACACAAAGTTCATAAAATAAACAACAATGGTAGATTCCGGGAGAAAAACAACTACTTTCCTGGCTAATTCCACGCAGAACATTGAAAAACATCGTCCAGAAATCTATGCACCGACTCATATAAATGAATACTGATACTAGTGATTCTTTCCTGAATGCCTATTGATTTCGATTTAGCCAGGCCACGCTAGACACCTACAGACTGGTTTCGAGCTCTTCGACTCTCATCAATGCAGGGCAGTCTCCAGCCAGCAGTCCTAAGACCGCCGACTGAGCGTAGCCTAGTCAAACAAAAATCAAGTTAGCATTATAATCCCCCAAAGGCGTCTTTCATAGCCAATATGAATATATCAGTATTCGTTTATACGAGAGAATGTAATTCAATGTTCTGTGTGGCATTAGCCAGGAAAGTAGTTGGTTTTCTCCAGAAATCTACCATTGTTATTCATTTTATGAACATTTTGTGGAGATGACTTTGAGCTTTTTGTATTTATTTGACATTTCATTTTGACTATTTCCTAGTTGGAATTATGGCATTATCAAATTCCAGGTGTAAGCTTTCTTGTGTCCAATGTAACCCTGTATCTATTTCTCACAATGTAAAACGCGTAAAAATGAGATAGTAGAAAAGAGTCACTCGAGATTTCAAACTACAAAGAATTCAGTTGGGCTGAATTTTGCCCAGTTGTCTCAATAAGGCTAATTATAAAGGCATATTTTGAATTCTCTTCGGTAGATATTGACTACTCTATTGATTATGTTAATCGATCAAAGGTACTTATAAAGGACCATCTTCACCCGTTTTTCGATGTTGATGGAGGTGGAAATTATATGTCTTTGAAATGGATGTCGATGTCTATCATAATAATATCGTGATTATTTATAAATAGAGGTTGAGAAAAAACGGATTTTCATTCCCAGAAGGGAAACTTGACGAGTACTCAAGAAACCGAAAGTTCTTTGATACTAGTAGTTTTTCTTCGTCAGGAAACAGTGGTGAAGGAGTTCCTTGCTGAAGTTGCTAAAAATATCGTACCTAATCTGATGATTCTTGAACTTTTGATAGAAAAACCGAAAAATGAAGGATTATATTGAGGAGACTTTGCCATCATATTCAGATACACAATTCATTGAACATTTCAGGTTGGTGTTGAAATTCATGTAGGTACAAGTGACGAAACATGTTGAAAATGTAGCTACAAATGCTATGATGGAATATATTCATCATTCCCCCACAGAGGGTTTCCCGAGATATTGTGAATCAACTCAAAGAAGAGTTTGAAGCTTCAGAATATTATTCCAATAGAAACACAGGTTTCAAACTATTGTTTTTTCGCAAATTCCCAAGAGGTGTTGCTCTCCACGGTTCTCTTCTGCCGAGTTAAGGTTTTCATGATTTGTGAACCGTTCTGAAACAGTCCTAGAATTCGAAACGACTGGGCACTACTTCTGCGCAGTTCGAGAAAGATTCACGAACAAATGAACCCGATGATTTGTATCTAGAAAAATATTGCCTAGTCCTTATCGCTAACCTTCATACCTCGACACTTTCGCTGGACGCCTCGCTGGATCCTCTGCTCCCATCGCTCCCGCTCTCGCTATCCATGCCAAGTTTCTGCTCTCTGCGGACCTTCCTCAGTGCCCTGCGCCGTGCTACGCCCGGGCACCATCTACACAGGCAACAGTTGGCGTACACCCACTTGAAGGAACGAGCCATGATGTCGCCGATGTTGCTGAGGTATAGTAGAAACAGCGGCATGCCGATGATGGCGTACACGATGGTGGTGATCTTGCCCACTGGGGTGTGGGGAAATATGTTGCCGTAGCCTGAAAATAAAGTGAAAGCTGTCAACTACACAGCATTGAACTCAATGTGAACAACTGGAAGGGAGACTGCCGCTTTATCGAATAGCACAGAGTGTGTCCGTTACCACCGATAAAACAAGGCCAGCAGACTCTGACGTAAACAGCTCGTGACGTCGCATACTCAGGCCATCTTCCAAGGCATTCGCGTCGATCGATCGTCAGTTTGTTTTTGTTTAAGAACAGTGGCGTAGGTAAATCGCGTGTGCCTCGAATTCTCTCGTTGTTTATTCATCAAAATAATTGGCGGAGAAATTACTGTTTTGTGAAATATTTCGTGTTGTGATAGGCGAAATAACAATGCCTTACCAGTGTTGTGTCCCCTTTTGTCGGGGGAATTATGTGGGTGGTCCAAAAGTTCATGCTTTTAGTTTCCCGTTGGACAAGGAACTATCGAAAAAGTGGGTACATGCAATTCACCGCAAGGATTTTACGACTCCATCTAAGTACAGTAAAGTATGTGAATTGCATTTTACTAAAGATGATATTATTACTTCATCTACTGCAACCGATTCAAAAACTGGCAAAATTGTAACAATAGATTTGAAAATTCCTAGGCTCAAACGAGATGTTATTCCCACTCAATTTCCCAACTGTCCATCTTATTATCGAAAGATGTAAAATACGCACAAGTCGTGATGAAAAACTTGAGATACTAGAGACTAAAAATTTGGCACAAGCACTTACCAAAAGTAAAACTGAATTCGAAAATTACCAAAAATCATTTTGCTACACAGAATTTCAAGAATTTCTAGTTGTATTAGAGTCTTTTCAGTTGCCCGAAAAGTGGTTCAAAATTATCGATTTGCAAAAAGTCACATTATTCAAATTGTCTTATTCTCCAGGGCCCGTAATTACATATTCGGTTGTGATTGATTTAATTTTCAATGTGGAATCATTTTTGTATGACCTAGCGATACAAACATCTCTAAAATCCAATCTGAAAACACCTTTTATCTCTAATAATATCAATCAAATCAAGGAATTACTAATTGAAATAGATAAAAACGAATTGAAATTGATACAAGGTGGTCAAAAAATCTAAATTTATAATTTGTTTCAATTAAATGCGTCAATTGAACACCAATTGACAGTGAGTGAAAAGTTGAGATAGGGACATGTAAACCGTTTTGACGAATAATGAACAGTTTCGACAGAAAAAAAACCTGAACTTGGAAAATCTCGATTTTGCACACCCTATATGTCAGTAACTTTCACTGCTAGACCCTAAGTATGATACGTCGTTGAAATCAGATTTTCAGGGAGAATTCAAAAATGAAATAAAATATAGGGTGTTACAATGAAAAAAACATAGCTTTGATGTGCTGTGACCTTACGGAACACCTTGTGTATTTCAAAGAAATTTCGAAATGTGAAGCTGGATTATTAATTCAATTTTGATACATGACTTTTTTTTGTATCTCTCAAGACAACAGAGAAATCGAACTCTGGAGTGTTAGTTGGCCACCCTGTACATTGAGTTAATTGCTACACAGTGACAAAAATTACCAACTGACACCATTATGGGTCAATCAAATGCCCCGAAGGGTAGGAGGACGATCTAGTCCTAAGAGCCATCTAGTGGCAGAACTGCAAAGGTGTATAAGTAGATTGTTTGAACAATCATACCTTGCGACTACGTCAAATATCATCACAGAAAGGCAAAAATGCCTATTATCACAGAAAGGCAAAAATGCCACAATTCTGCAGACTATAGCAACACCTGGATTTCTCACAGTGATTCAATGACCCACCGACAGATGGTAAGGAACCTAAAATCTCAAGACTAAGATATTTCAGATTTCTCACCATTATCGGTGTCTCATGAGTTCCTGTAACGTTTGATTTCAAATTCATGAAGTAAGGGACATGTTTCCGATTCAAATGGTGTCAGTCATCAGCCGAAAGAAATTATTTCACAAAGAATCAAGGAAACAGTACCTGTATCGCTTGATATTGTCTGTCCTTCATGAATATGAAATTGAAGGTTCTGGAGACGACTTGGAGAGTTTTATTATAATATCATAGATTATAATCATTATGCACAAGTAAAATACCATGGCTTATCTTGATATATTTGAATGACAAAGCAACTTTGATAATTCAGAAATGAATGATGATCAGATAGTATCTCATGCAAAATTGACGAACACTGCTAAATCTTATCGAGAATCTCAATTTCATCAGTACGGTACATATCAAATTCAGAAAAATATTTCTTAAATTGTTTAATCAACAATAATATGACTAATTTTCGTCACGGTTGAGAATGAAAAACAACGAATTCATTTTCTGACAATGATCATATCCCGTGGCCTCAGCCCAGCGGCATTATTTTTGTTTTATATCAATAATCTTGAATTTGAAATAATGAATTCCAAACTTACCGCGTATACGGATGATATATCCTTACTTATTTCGGCAAAGAACACTGAATCTCTTGAAAACGAATGTTAAAAGTTACTTTAGCTAATGCCTCTGAGTTTTCTAGTGATCACGACCTATTTCTGAATCCACAGAAAACAAAAATTATTCGATTTCATAACTAGCAGAATAAAGTTGATTCTTCACAAGTGAATATAAATGATACAACATTATTAAGTACCGATAAACTTGTTAAATTCTTGGGCTTGCTAGTAGATGAACATCTAAATTGGCATGCACATTGTGGACTTCTGATTTCTAAATTGAATTCTGTTCAGTATATGATCAGGAACTTAAAAACTGTTTTTGACAGAACACAACTTTGTAGTATCTGTTTGTAGGGCAACTCAACATCAGCCAAAAATGTCTTTATCAAACAAAAATTTATTTTACTTTGCATTTTTGGTACTTCCAAAATGTCTTCATGTAGAAATATCTTTACTTCTCATGGAATTTCAACCCTTGCTAGTTTATATATCCATGAACTAGCAGTTTATATTTACAGTAATAGGAACAATTTCAAATCAAATAAGGATTTGTACAAAACCAATACTCGTAGGAAAAATGAAATTCACACCCTTGCTGCCAGGTATAAAATAACACAGAATTCTCCGTATTATATATAGGCCCCAGAATATTTAATCATCAACCACATGATATCAAAACATCTTGTGATATTGAACAATTCAAATTTGGTTTGGAACCGTTTCTGTAAGAACATTGTTTTTACTCAATTGATGAATTTTATTCAGAACTGTCGAGCATACTGAATAGCTTTTAGTTCACTGTTTCCATATGACTTATCACTTTGTAATGTATTCCTCTAGACTGACGACTATTCCTATACAAAATGTACTTTTGTCGTTCAGAGCAAAGAAAATGAAAAAAAAAATCCCGTGGGTAAAATGTTAGGATCTATAGCTAGTGGTAGAAAAAATATATCTCAGACCGGATATTTTCATGATCTACACAAATGATACCCAAATCTTCGAAAATCTTCCAAATGTTGCTCAGAAATTTCAGTTATATTTTTCTGTTTGAAAAATATGAAAAGTTCATTTCTTCTAATAGTATCGTCCTTTTTCTCTCAATCAGTGGATTCAACGCTGAAAAGTACGGGGGAATTCATGTTCAAATCACTACCATATAAAATGAACACTTTTTGCGGAGAGTTGAAATACCGAAAATTTCGTGGTTATTAGATTTTCTGGATATTCCATTCCAGGCTTGAATTCGGCTTTCATCCCGTAACACTTTCCAATCAGAATGTGATGCATTCGCCAATTTTCCGCGCTTTTCATTCAAGAACTGATAGCATGCCATCCGCACTCCCAACGGTAATTGATAACGGCTTCAAGCCGAAAAATGTGGGTCGTTAAAAAGTTTGTCGAGTCGATTTTGCTCGAGCTGTTTTATGCAAAGTTGGTTAATTTGTCAAATGAGGGGCATCCAGAAGAGCTAAAAGGAGGTTCCTGAAAAATTGATAGATAACGACGTGTTACCTCCAATATAATAGCCAGAGAACGATATTTCGAAAAGGAAAGAGAGGAGGGGATACCTAAAACAATTAAGAACGACGATGAAAAACTGAGCACCTATACACCGAAAAAGGGGTAATTCCTAGTGATATTTTAGGAAATAAAGTTTATATAAACATGTGTCCTAACTAACCCCTTGTATAAGCTTCCATGGTGCCAAAATTCAGTATGGATGGAGACTGACAAGCCCCAAAATTTCAAAATGATTCTAATTGGGGTTATGTAGTAATCTCAATGGAAGTCTTGAAAACACCTTCATAAAAATTTGAAGTTTTTTATTAAGTTCTGGTTCCCACGAAAAGGAATACCTGTGATGTTCAGAGAACATCGTGAGAACCAAGGAAAATGCTCGGCATCACGGTATCTGACAGTTTATCTTGGCATGACCATGTTGCCAATATAGCTAGAGCTGCCTCTCAAATGCTGGAATTCCTCTTCCGCGCGAAGGAGTATTTCACCTTACAACAGCTTCTGACACTCCACAAAGCTCAGATTCAGCTCCAAAACACTCCCTGAGGTTGCTGGAGTCGGTTCAAAGAAGAGCCATCAGGCTCATCAATGACCCAACTCTGACAAGATTACTGCAAACTTCAAAACATCGGAGAGACGTTGCAGACCTATCACTCTTCTATCGCTACTATCATGGACGATGCTCTGTTGAATTGTCATCAGCTGTCCCCCCTGGAATGACCTTTGTTCGCCAAACGCGGCTGGCTCAAGTCTCACATGCAGTCATAATTGAAACACCTAGAATAACATATTTCAAGAACTCCTTCTTTTGTAGGACATCTTCACTGTGGAATTCTCTACCCACAGATGTATTTCCAGCGAACTACAATCTATTTACCTTCAAGAGGAGAATCCATCGACATTTGTCCCTCCTTAGTGCTCGCAGTTCCACCACGGTATTATAGGTCCAACCTTTTGCAAGCACTTCCGAATAAAAAAAATAAGGTTGGAATTGGTGTTCTTCTCAAATTTCTGGAGGTTATATGCCTCTGG